GTTGGATTCTTACTGTTTTTTCTCTTGTACATAGTGTCTATATTATATTATAGTATTTCCCTACTCTTATTGTTTTTATACTGTTTTTTCTCTACCCACTTTGCTGCTGTAACATTGGAATTTCCCCATCATGGGACACATAAAGGAATAAAGGAATATCTTATCTTATTATTGAAGGAAGTCACAAAGCATATAGCTTAGCAAAACCAACTTTTGAGAAAACCTGAATAGGTTGAGCCTAATCAAGTAATCATCGTCATGTTGTCTCAACAAAATGCTATTTCACTCCAAAAAAATGATTATAGCCTACTGGATGGGCTCTCCTCAACTTCCTGTAAATTTGCTTTAAATACCTGAGAAATACTCTGATTCTATTAAATCACATACAATTAATCAAATCAAATCAAATGGTCTAACATCGCAATATAGGGGGGATTCATTCTGTCATACTGCGTCTAGAGTGAGGGTTGGCTCCTCCTCAACTCTGGCAGTTGACATTCCCCATGCCCAACAGCATGCAGAGAGAGCATGAACAGAAGATCACAATAGCATGGACAGAAGAGAACAAGAGCATGAACAGAAGAGAACAAGCGCATGAACAGAAGAGAGCAGCCAATCAGCTTTCACTGAGCTGATCCTCAGGTTGTGCAAACACAAATATGAAATACTTTGACCACAAGAGCAGTTACTGTCAGCCTCTTTACTGTATAAGGCAAGCATCTGAAGTCAATCATGACATCAGGTGGAATTAACCACTAAAAAGTGTTAAAGACACCATTGCTACTGCTTAGTGTATACTGAGTGAGAGACGTCTTGGCACCTCCTCCTCCTCTTCTTCTTCTTCACTCGTGAGTGTGGTATGTTACATTCCAAAAATAAAAAATAAATAAAACCATATCTTCTTAATCCAATTAGTTAGTCTAAGATTCTAATATATGATTTGATAATACATGTTCTTTTCTTGTAACATGCTACTGTTATTAGTTTAATCTTTCTGTATAGTTAATCTATTTTGAATAGTGTACTGTTGAGTCCAGTGTTTCCAGTCTTGATACAGTCTCATCTCTCCTGTTCCTTCCTGCACACATCATTTCTTTTTTTGTGGATGTTTATTCAGACTACACACGTTCAGCACATAATTTACCATTACTGCCTTACTCTGGATGGAATGATCACTATTTTTTCAGCCCCTTATGGTCTAATTCCTTGGCTACATACCTGTAATATGAAGAAAGTTTTTTATTTTTACTCTCCCCTTACAGATATCCCAAGGAGTAGGAGTAGTAGGAGTAGTTCTACTGGACCACTTCCTCCACAATCCTCCTCTTATCTGTATACAGTGCACTGCAGTTGAATGGTCTCCATCCCTCCACATTCTTCACATTTCCCATCCTGGTGTTTCCCCGCCAACAGTATAGTGCCCCAGCTTTCAACTTGATTTCAGTTGACTATATAACCTTTGGATGAATGGAAAAAACTGCCTGCCCTTTATATTTCCATTACTGACATTAAACTTGACAACAAATGCACACAGCAGTTTTAATACATTTTCATCATCTGTGTCGTTGGCCGCAAAACAACATGAACATGAACGCCCAATTTACACATCTCATAAACATCTCATATCAGAACCACAATCAGATCATACACCCGATGACATGATGTCTGCACGTCACAGAGCAAGACATATTTCAGTGTAAGATACTATACTTTGTTGTGGCTGTTTTGTTGTTCTTACGCAGCTTTTTGCTGTGGTAACATGTTTAAATAAGACAATTAATTTAAATTTAAAGAAATTAGATTTAACTGTAGTTTAGAGAGGCGCCATAGGCCACCTCTCTCTCTCTCTCTCTCTGTTCTCTTCTCTCTCTCTCTCTCGCTCTCTCAACACCACACACACACACACTTAATCACGTGTCAGAGTGTCTCAGTGTATATTCAGATGTGTGATAACAAACAAAGATCTGGAAAGAGACAAGGAGAGACTGAGCGGGCGCATTCATTGTTACTGTTATCTTAGTTCTGTTTCACTGATGCGGCTCCAAAAAGGAACACCCTGTAATTTGTCTTCTTAATGAAACCAAATAAATTTTTTTTATTTGCATAGCCTACCTAATTATGGATCCGCGTGAGTAAGAATGGAAATGTAGTTCAGGTTGAAGGACATTGCGTATAGCATCAGAAACCATAAACAAAACCTCAACTTTGGAGAAAACCCAATAGGCTGTTTCTGTTAAAATAAACATGGTCATGGTCATGTTGTCTCAATCAGTTGGGAGCCCTGTTGTTCTGGGATTATACACAGCCTACTACTATTTACAGTCATCATCACATTATAGCCTAGTGGGCTCCCACCTACTCCCTTTCATTTTTCTCTAGGCTACATACTATAAAACATATCAGATTCTATATATTGAATAATAATGATAGGCCTATTGCTATATTGAATTGTAGTATGGTGGGAAATTATAAATATGTTATTGAATTTTCTTTGAGGGGCTGTCTGCCCCATTAGCCCCTGTAAATAGGAGTTTCATTGATCCGCGTCCCTTTTTCCTTCCTCGGTTCTCACTGTCGTCCCACGGCAGGGCGATGAGGCTGGCTGAACACCGTCTCCTCAGCTGATTGTGGAAGCTGCTGGTAATAGAAGCCCCCGTATTCAGCTGCACACGGTCAGAGACCTAACATGAATGTGGCGCATCTTGCTCTCACAGCCGCACTTTTGGCTGCGAATAGCGGCTTCGGTTACTCCAGCAGCCTCCCTTCATTCATCCTGCCGTTCACTGACTGCGTGCAGAGCCGTGGGAAAGACGGCTTCTACCGGGGAGCGATAGACGTCACCGAGTCCGGCACTCGGTGCATGAACTGGACCGAAGTGGCCGGCTTCAAGGAGCGCTACCCGGGGAAAGGAATAGGAGAGCACAATCACTGCCGCAACCCGGACGGCAGGATCCGACCCTGGTGCTTTTTCAGGAACCACAGAGGCAGAGTGGACTGGGGGTACTGCGACTGTAAACAAGGTAAACACGCAGGCATATAGGCACACAACAATACCGTAGAGAGAAGGGATCCATGATACAGTATAAACCTAGGAGCTGAAATACCAGAATAAACTGATCATTTAAAAGTCAATGTAGGCTGCCCCAGATACAGTAACATATCAGCTAAATCAATTCTTATTTGGGTTAATGGATGCCAGAGTAATGTAGTGTTTCGTTTTTTTGCTGTGTGCAACTGTGTTAAGAATAATCTCGCTCCACTTGTCTTGACTCAACTCAAGAAGCCCATGGTGAAGTAATTAGACAGGACACACCTTCACTATCCCATTCCCAGGTGTGACTATAGTGTATGCAGATGGCAAGTCTAAGCACATTGGTGCTGTAATGAGGACACAGGTATTTGCTTATATGGTGTTGATGGCAGTGAACACATGTCCAATGGATCACCAGTGTATGAGAGCAAACTGATGATAGCAAAATAAAAATAGCTCGAGCTTAACATTATCAATACCTATCAAGTACACAGGCTTGAACCACTAAGTGTTACTTAAATTAAAACTGAGGACTAAGTAGATCCTACCTCTCTGGATTGATGAAAGGTAGAGAAGCGAGAGAGTGAGAGTGGCGAAAGGAATCGAGTGTGTGATTTCCATTTGGCACAAGACAAGCAGTCTGTGGTATTTTTAGTCTTGGAGTGTGGCACTGCATGGGTAAATTATCTTCTGGTAATTGATACATGGAATTGACATACATTGATCCAGCTATTAAAGATGTTTGGATCATTAAACACCTTTAAGGGTCTATTCTATGTGTGTGACCAGGTGTGTACATAAAAACGGTATCCACATATGGCTCTTTTTTTTCCCCCAGGGGTACTCCATATGGATGTTCTCTCTAATTTAAGTTCATATATGCTGATGGCAATAAGAGGCAGGCACTCACACACTCCCAAATATATCAATATGTAGGTACACACATTGTAATCAGATTACTCCAACAATAAACAGCACATATCTACACACAGTAACCATGTTTTTTTTATGAGGAAATATGTACATTTTAGGAAACACTCAATTCCAAAATAAAAATCCTTTTTATTCTTGGGTAAAAGAAAGAAAATGCTGTGTGGAGAGACAATGGGAAAAATAGCCACATTCTCTCTATGGTTTTCCTCTTTTCATAGACTAGATGTAATGCGACAACACACATATGAAACGTTATTTCATGAACTGAAGTGAAATGAAAACTTGTACATGCAGCCATTTGGATGTACACAGATTCACCAGCTCATTTATAAGACAGTTGTGTGCTGGTACATGTGGTCACCTGTCATCTCCACAAAATCAAATCATCCTGCTGCCTTTAGTCTCTCTCTCTTTGTTTCTACTTATTTATATATGTGTGGATATAGTACAACATAATCTTTTATCTCTTTTATATCATTGTTTGTCCCCCATTTTGTATGTGCTGTAGTATTATACATCTTTTGTTCTTTAACCCTCTTTCCATCCCAGGTTCTGTGCGCCTGCAAGGAGGCCGCTCCAAGCTTGATGGCAGGGTGGAAGTCTATCTGGGAGGAGTGTGGGGGTCTGTCTGTAGCGATGACTGGGGGGACGAAGACGCTGCAGTGGTTTGCAGACAGCTGGGCAAGGGGTGAGTGAGCACACATGCACACAAACACACACACATGTGCTCAGACATGCACTATTTGCTGCTCTCTGCCTGCCTCTCCCTCGCACGTACATATTCAGACACAGGTGCAAGTACAATCACCATGTGCCGTATAAATTCAGAATGTGAAACTGCCTTCAGAGGTCTGACAGATGGCATGAGTGTGATGGAAATTCGGTGGGAATGTTACAGACTTTCACAACGCTTCAGACTTACACATGCATGCGCCCTCTCTACAGTCTTTGTACTTTTCTTGTGTGACCCTTGCATTCCAACCCCCCATTCCCCAGAGGTATTTAAATACCTTAAGTGCTCAGCTATTTACCTTGTTACCAGCCTTCTCTCTGTCTCTGTCTGTCTCTGTCACACACACATGTGCAAATGTGTCTTATAGTCTCAAATGTTTAATAATGTTTTCATGCTAAAAGGCCAGGTCTCAAGGGAGCCTGTACGCACATCATACATATTGACAGTGTTCATAAGCTCGGGTGTAGTCATTTGAGAAGGTGTCTGATTTCCCTGGAGAACAGAGACGTTTTGTGTGCACTCACTACGCATGTTGACACTAACACCAGCACTGGCATGCATGCTGACATGAACACATGCCTGCCTGTGTGTGCATATTCACACAGGAGTCAATGAAAGTCCACAGCGGAAAGGAAAAAGGGCAAATGTTAGCCACATGTCAGCTAGAATTGTTGGTGATGACTTTCACATGTCCAGATATTGAAGCTGTTGGGTGTGAAACTGCTGACCGCATTGGCCCTGAAATGGCAGATGATGAACATACAGATGGCTCAAGGTTATTGCTACCAGGCTTTACTTTTTGCTCTGAGATTGGCTGCCTTAGCTTGGCTGCAGGATTTATGTCAGATGATATAAAAAAAGAAGCAACCCTAATTAGGTTGCATTTCTATTAATCTTCTTAATGACCAAGTCTTATTAGATGAAACTTGGTTTACTGTTTGGTATCAGTTGTGGGTTAAAAACATAACCAGTATATTTTAAATGAGTAAAAGTAACTTTTTTGCTCTTTGATCTCTTTCCAGGATCTCAGGTAGTGCACGCGCAGTTCCTCTGTTTCGTCCCGGCATGGCCAAGCTCCATTGGAGGGCGGTCCATTGTCAGGGAGAGGAGCCAGACCTGCTCCAGTGTCCTAAGACTACCTGGAATGGAGGGGAGTGTTCTCTGGCTGCAGCCATCACCTGCACCCAGCAGCCAGGTAGGCACTCCTCATGGGGAATTATAGGGCTGAGATGGATAAATATAATGAGATCTAATGACTTTAAACACCCTCTATAATTCTACAACCCCTACTTCATTTTAGAATTGTCCTCAATATATACTTTAAAATGAGTCCCTTTGTTTCAGCCGGCATAGAATCTCAAAGTGGACTATGCAAATGTGTGTATTAATGCTTGTGTGCCTTTCAGAGATAGCTGCGCTCCCTATACGGCTTGTGGGAGGTCGATCACGATCAGAGGGCACAGTCGAGGTCTTCCATGCAGGGCAGTGGGGTTCCATATGTGACGACCAATGGGATGACAGTGATGCAGAGGTGGTGTGTCGACAACTGGGGCTGAGGTGAAGGGGCACCCACACACACACGTACACACACACACAGGCAGATATAAATGTTCATATTTACATTAATTCCAACTGATAATTAGCATAGAGGAAATACACTGTGACTGTCTAAAGAGTGTGACAGAGTGGGAAGCTGAGATGAGTTAATGTGGGTGTCCAGTCGTCTGTCTCTCCCTCTGTCTCCAAAAGTATGAGAAGTATTCTTTCCATTCGGACACACAGAGAGAGGAGCAAGCAGTAAAGAACATCTGGGGGTCAGATAATGAATCAGGCTCATTGTTCCTGCATGAATTCTAGTACCACAGAGATATGCATATTTAGCAACACTACACTCTCTGCAAATGTTCCTGTGTGCATTTTTTTGTGTATGCCACTGTGGTGTTGGTGTTGCAATGTTTATGTATGCACAGATGTGTGTGGCAAGCCATTTCTCCAAAGCTGATTTGACACGCAGTAGGTTTATTCCTTTCAATTTGCAGATTAAACAAATACTTCAACTTACACCAGGTATTTTGTAAGTCAGGACTAGTCAGTACATCTGTTTTTAATTGTATCGGTATTACTGCAAACCAAACCCTCTATTCTTCTATACTGTCTCTTTTGTCTGTAGCGGTGTGGCGAGGGCATGGGGCCAGGCACATTTTGGCAAGGGTTCAAGCCGTGTGTGGCTGGATGAGGTGCGGTGCACAGGCAATGAGCTCACTCTGGAGCAGTGTCCAAAAAGTGCTTGGGGGGAACACAACTGTCTGCACTCTGAGGATGCAGGAGTGTCCTGCAACCCTCTCACAGGTAGTGACACCTGCCTTTGCATTAGCAATCCACAATACATGCATACAAGTCAAATGCGGCAAACAGCAGCCAACACAGATGTAACATTAATGATGGTTGCAGGGGGGGTTAATAGAATTCCTAAATTCAATATACAGCAATCATTAACGTTTTTAGTTGCACCTGTGCTTTTCCTGCAATGATAAGTCATAATGTTTTCTTTGAAAAAGGTACAGCAAATTGGTTTCAGGAGAGAAAAAAAGAGAAGGGTGCAAGGTAACAATGCTACCTTCCCCACATTTGCTACCCCTTTTGCTAGCAGAGCTTTCAGGACATTGCAGGGTGGCTAGGTCTAGAAACATAAAAGCTGAACACTGGTCAGTAACAATTTAAAATGTGCAAGGCCATAAGAAAATATCTATTTTTAATTTAAAAAAAAAAACTATTTAATGCAATGGAAGGCCTTGTGAGCAAGGGCATTGCCTAACTCTCTGTCTTTCTCTCCAGATGGTACTGTACGGTTGGTAGGGGGTGTAGGCAGTCATGAGGGACGTTTAGAAGTCTTCTACCGTGGTCAGTGGGGAACAGTGTGTGATGACGGCTGGATAGACTCTAACACTCAAGTGGTGTGCCGACAACTTGGTTACAGGTAATATGACACATTCATGCCCCCCAGGCACATGTAGGCTCTCATTACTTAATAATATGTAAAAAAAAATCTATTTGTGTGTGTACGTCTACTTTGCAGATTAGGTGAGACTCTGCTTTTTGAAGGACTAGACATCACTCCAGTCCCACGGTTCGGGGTGGGGTCAGGTCCCATTCTTTTGGATGATGTGAGTTGCACAGGGAAAGAGCCTAGCCTATTGCTGTGCAACAGGAGGGAGTGGCTCCGTCATGACTGCACACACCATGAAGATGTTAACATCGCTTGTAGCCCTGAGCGCCATGGAGACAGTCTTCCAACTAGTAAGACTGAATTTTATCTTACTGTGAGGTTACGTAAAAGGTTATGGTTGGGTTGGATGAGAGAGGCTCAGCTATGTGGGTTATGTGTGTGGTTAGACACTGATATTATGCATATAGATAGCAGATACCATAGTGCTACTTGAAACGATGTGGGATGTTAAACCTTTCTGGCCACCGATGCTGGTATTTGCCTTCATAAATGGTAATGGTCTTTCTTAAAAATTTGATTTTGGTTTTAGAGTTCTCGAAATGCTCTTATTGATATTTTAGCAAATTTTAATCCCCATAAGGATTTTGATATCGTTGATCATTTGTTTTTGTTTTTGACAACTGAAGTAATGAGCGGGCATCTGTGTTTGAAAATCATCCAGTCCTTTTGAATTATGGGGTGTCTAAATCTTAAGACAACATTTTTAGAAGATTTTACTAAAACCTATTTGTCTTTTGATTCCAGTAACCCCAGTTTACAAAAATAAAAGTTTTAACCATCTTTTAGTTAATTCCAGTAAATCAAAATTCATTATACATTTTCTAGATTTCTCTCTCAGTAGACTTGCTCTGGGTGTCATTTCTTACAATACAGTTTTGATAAACACATGAATTCAGTAATCAGTCCTGTTTCCTGCAGCTCTATTTAATCTGGATTATTGCAATACTCAATCAGATTAATTAAATTCTCAGTATTCCTGTTTAAAACAATGTAATCCTCACAAGTTTTAACTACTTGAAACTGCTGCGAGTAGGAGAGTGCATAAAACTATTTTAGAATCTCTGCACTGGTTACATGTGTTTCACAGTTGACCTGAATGTGTATTTTAATCACTTTTATAGCTCATATGGCGGTTCACCTCTGACCAATGACCTTTTAACACCCTATTAGCTGAGTTCTGCCCGAGATCCTCTCATTGTTCCTTTTTAATGGGTGGAAAACTATATGAGCCATTTGGGCCCCTCAACTCTGGAAAGACTAGCCAGATAAGATTTTTTTGCTAAAGTTTGTTTAAAATCCCCTTTAACATAAATTTTTCTAGAACCACTTTTACTGAAATTACTCCATTGCTTAATTGCTGATTGTACTTCACATTTGACTTGCCTCTGGTGTAAACACACAGATTTTTTGTTTCTTGTAAAGCTGTTTATAATATTAAGAAGAATTAAAAAAGAATAGGATTAAAAATAAAATAAATATTATTATCAGTAACAATGTTAGCTTGACTGAAAAAGCCCAGCTTTTCACTGAGAGCATACATACTTTATAGGCAGTGTAAAACAGCAAACCAAATGGTGGAAGTCTCTATGTAATTTCCCTTCACTTAATAAAACCAGGTGATAGAAGTGTAAGCTGATCTGGAATCTGTTTCTAAGATCTCTGCCAAACTCAACCTGCATTCAATTGGATCTCATCTTACTTGGAAGAGGAAAGCCAACATTCTCCAAGAGACAGATAGAGGATGATGTAAGTCATGCTAACTCTAATAGGAACAGCTGTTAGTTGGCTTGTCCTACCTTGGGTTAACTGGGTTGCCTGTGAAGTCATGAAGATTAAATGGGCCTACTGCAATACTTTACCTAGAGTAAGTCTCTATCATGCTCCTATTCCTCACTGTTCCTAAATAACTACGAGGCAGCAGTGACATGTTGCTACATAACACAAAATAAGTGCTAATGCACTTCTTAACTCTGTATAGGAAGGAGACAGAAGGGTTCAGTTGTGTTACTACATGCTGAAAGTGGGAGGAAGTGTTGAATGGTAGCACCATTAATCAAGCTTATGTCTATAGCCTCCAGACACCAATAAACACGTGTAAGGATAGAGCTGGATGAAACCAGTAATGGCTCAGATTTGACCTCATACTGTATATAACTGTTCAATTCTCTGCCTTCTGTCATGATGTTGAATGTAAAAGCTATGAGTCTGATAAGTCTGGTGAATGTCACAGAAAGGATACATTATGTTTTTAATGTCGTATGTGATGATAAGTTGGGTTTAGGTAGCTTATGTTGCTTGGAAAGAAGCTGAGGGAAAATCTCCCCCCCACACACACCACAAATACCCGCTGAAGAATTATGTCATTACTACCTTACGTTTGTGTGTGTCTGTTTGTTTTGTGTGCATTTGTTTGAGTGTTTATGTGTGTACGTAAATCCCTCCTTCCCCCTCAACATGCCACAAGCAGATTGGTTTATGTTGTTTTTGGAAAAGGATAAAAAGCTGATAAGCCAGACTGTGCTTTCATCTCTCTGTCTGTCT